GGGAAACTTTTCTCATCCCTCCACAAGATATTCCCTCATCTATATATCATTCTGATGATACAGGAATGATGATAAAGGATGATCTATACCATCCTTCATTCAAATGGGACCTAATATACTTTTGCTTATTTTTTGTCATATATAATGTTAAATGTTGGATGTTCATACTTAACAAATGTTCAAATAATGAGGTAAACTTCTAAAAGTGAGCAAAAAACTCAGGCTTCAGCCTGCTCTGAATATTTATTAATACTTTTGCAGAGATGTCTTTATATGGACATCTGCAATGCAAAACATGTTTTCATTATAAAGTAGGCAATATAACAACCATTAGGGCCTGAGCACAAAGCATGCGAGGATCCTATTGGAATTCAAGGCATTATTATTTTTAGGGCCCAAGCACGAATCATGCAAGGTCACTATTGAAACTGAAACACTATTGAAACATTTTTAGGAACTGTGCGAGGTCCCAATCGAAACTGAAGGAATTGTTTTTCTTTTTTAGCGCGAAAGTGCCAGTGCACTGGTTTTTGTGAGATTTTGCTCAACAGAATGTGAAGCATTTTACGCTTCTTGCGTCATTTTCAATTTTTAAATAGATATTTGAGGCCTTTAAGATGCTCAAAGAGCCACGAAACTTAGCAGCCAAACTTGAACTTATAATGTTTCGATTTGATGTCATTTTTAAGACTGAGGGTTGCACGTTGGCATGATTTCATGCGATTAATTGTGCACTTTTAATGATTGCACACTTTTAATTAAAATGTACTGCTATATACACAAAAGTGCAATAACGTGGTTTGCAAACACTTAAATGTAAATTTCCAGAGCCACTATCATAACATCATAACAGGCACCTTCTGAGCAACAGGTTAACAGATATAAATCTGTTTTCTTGTTTTTTTTCTGAGAAGGTATCAGCAGAAACATTTTTCTTTTATCAGGGAGCAGCAGAAATAGTCAGTAGCAAGTGAGGTGAAGTGGTTGCCTCACGCACATGCCCGCCGAAGTTGAATTATCTTGAACTTTTTGTACACAACGCACAGCACAAATCATTGGAAGAGAGACTGATCCTCGCTGTTTGGGAGTTTCCAGAATCTATTACTGTTTACTAAATAGGACATCAACAGGACGGAATTCACGTAGCAGAGCATCCCTGCAAAACTAGATGAAGGCCTGTCAGGTAAAGTTATGTGCCTATAATTTTAACTTAAGTTAAATAGGTTACAGCTGTGTAACGCAGAGAAGCCGTTGCCGTGGTCACTGTCCATAGAGCGCCTGCCGTTTACTTGCAGAGTGCTTAGCTGTTCACTTGAGGAGCACAGAGCAACCCCGCGACTATGTTGTGTTTTTAAGAACGTTCCTAAGACATCTTCCCCAATACTGATCAGCATGCAGTGTGTAGCTATCCACTTCACTGTGGCATTTGATCACTTGTCTTGCTTTTGTTTATCTACTTCTCCCACACGCTGCATCCAGCGTCTGTCGAAGCCTCCCTCTGCTGCTTGTTTGGGTGGGTGATTTTCAGGCTGGTTCACCCATGGTTTGACCGGATGTGTATTCAGAGCCAGTGAGCAACGGACATTCAAAATAATAATAATAATAAAAACTGCTTTAACGTGCAATAAAATAATTGTCGGCGTTAATTAATTAATGCATTAACACGATAATAACGTTTTAACGTGCCCAGCCCTATTTTCTGTTTATTTATACTTAACTCATTTACACTGAACAAAACACGTTTATACTGGCCAAAACACAAGACTACTAGTTAAACTGTGTAATCTATTCCAAACAACCAATCATCTCTTTGTAATGCAGATTCTAGTCCTCATCCAATCAGAGAAGGAGTGAATCAGATGCTGCTCTACTGTCGTGTTGGGATTGGCTACCATCTCCAGATTCTGCCAAGCGGCGCTGTGGGAGGTGTCCACAAACCCACACAGTACTGTGAGTTCAGTTAACACTTATGACCATGTGTTAAATTTCATAAGCCTGCATTGTTTACATTCTGTATATTCATTGTTTGGCAGTATTCTTGTTTTGTTTTGGTTTTAGTTTTAGAAAATTGAAGTGATAGAGTGACATTCTTGGATATATCTGTGATGTGTCCAAGAATGTATCAGATGTATGTATGTATGCAAAACCTGTATGCATTGCTTCACACTGCATTTCTCCATCTCCTCAAGGTTGGCTGAAGGTGTTTGCTATGGACCACGGAGTAGTTGGAATCAGAGGAGTCAAGAGTGGCTTGTACCTCTGTATGAGCGGAGAAGGACTAGCATATGGAGTGGTATGTAGCCCTCTGCACAGCTCACACCAGTTAAGGCCCATTTATACTCAAATATATTAATTCACCGTGTTACAGCCACTATTTTGGCTGCTAGTAAATGTTACTTTAAAGCGCAGGGTACTTCCGGTCGGCTCGGAGGCATTGCGAGGCTACCCAGCCAACCAATCAGAGCTTACGGTCCGTGTCCACTCGACGTGTAGTTACATTTTGAAGGAAGTGCACGTCAGGCGACGGCGTAGCCTCTGCGTAGCCCTGTAGCCTTTGCCGTCACCTACGCCATCGATTTGACGCAGAAGTATAAATTGCACTTTATACAGCATGCTTAGAATATCTTACATGTGTGTTGAGAGAGAAAGAGTGCACTTTATCAGACCGGGGTCAAGAAAAACCAACAAGATAAGAGACTTTCCTCAAGTACAGGGCTGCATAAAGGAACCAAAACACAATAACGACAATCTTCCGAACTGTCTTTTCCAGGAGCAGTTTTCTGACGACTGCCTGTTGAAGGAGAACCTGGAGGAAAATCACTACACCACCTACTCCTCTCTGGCTCACCCAGGCATCTATCTGGCTCTTTCCCAAAAGGGAGAACTCAAGAAGGGCAACAGTGTGGGCCGGCACCAGTCCTGCACCCACTTTCTACCTCGGAAAACAATGTGATCAGCTTTTTCAGAATTGGAGCCAAATTAGGAATATGGTGGCTCACGATGCATCTCCAGCTTGTGAGAAAAGCAAAGACTAGAAATTGGCCCCCACATAGCAACTGGTCCTACTGCCACATGGAAAAACAAACTCACCCAGGACCGTGTCCACAAGACAAACTGTTGGTATGTGCTAAGTGTAAGTAAGGACAGTGAACTTAAACACGACGTCACACTCATCCACTCATCCTGCAACTACCTAACTTAAACATCCTGACACAGTCTGAGGATCATGCAACAAACTACGGCTGCTTGTGGTGATCGATAATGCATATGGTTTACCACCATGGGACAAAATACTGTTCAAAGTACAATTTTTTATTCTTTTTAATTTTCAAGATTGTATGGGAAATACAGAAACAATTCAAAATAGCTTTTAGTCTTTAAAGCTTTATTGGCAATGGATCTAATGTGACACCATGACATCAAATATGTCAGAGCTGTGGTTACCGCTTGTTCTGCTTACAGCTTATGAATTGACTTTCAGTGACGAGGAGTCTCCACAAAGTCACCTACATGAAACTCTGTGAAACTGGCCACAGTTAAGAGTTGTGTTCCAAATAAGTAGTGTGAATGATACAGAATTCTCTGTATATTAGAAATATTGATGGATGACTAGATGAAACAGAGTTGAATGTTCACACAAAACTGGGTTTGACTATAGTGAAAAGCAAATGCCTTTTAAAATGTAAAAGCACTCATTCACAGTTTCTGTACCTTATTAATGTTTTATTTAATTTGTGTATTTTGTTTTAGAGTGCATTTCAGTGTTAAATAAAAAAAAAATATATACATATATATTTGGAAATCAATTTGTGTGAAGTAGTCTGTTGCCAGGTGATTGGATCTTTAGATAACCAAACTTTTTCCACAAATTCAGAATCGGGAAACAAACAGACTGAAGGTTAGCGGACAAGCTAGCCTGCCAAAACAGCTATCAGCAGTTTGACCTTAGTCAGGCTAACCTGGCAGTTACTATTAGAGACTGATCTGCTTCCTGCTTTCCTACACTTTTTTTCATTAGAAAAAGCTTTGTTAGAGAAAGTTGCTCTTTGGCCCCCTCCACTGATATCTCAATCAGTTAGTGTTTTTGCTGCTTAAAGGCTTGTCTGGCTCCTAGAAATGTTTGAAAAACTGAAAAAAAAAAATACATTTTTGATCATCTGAAAACTGAAAAAAAATTATTTCAGTATTTAGGCTGACCAATAATTTGGCATATCTATGTATGACTTAAATACATTAAGGCATAAAGTAAGTTGATCTTCACGGACAATTTCTTTACTTACACTTAGTGGTGTCTTGTATGCAGCTAGGTTTGGTTTTATTTGTCCAGGTTAGGTCTGAGATTTCTATCTTGTCCCCAGTGCAGTCAAGGTGAATAGAATTCCATTTGTGATTCTCACAGCATTAAATATCTTTCAACAGCAACAGAAACAAAGTCACTGTGGATACTCCACAGACCTCACTCAGAACAGTTTTCAAAAACTACTATTGAGCTTTTCAAATGGAGGTTTCCACTGCTTTAAACCAACACAGCTGACATTCCATTCTCCTGTATATATTGGGATAGCAGGAGCAAATATCTCAAAACCATGTCACATTAAACCCAAACTATCTGCGCGGCTGGGGGTGACATTTTGAAAAGATGTTTGACTCATGCTATAGTATTTGAAGAAAGCAGCTGGACAGTGAAGCCACTGGACGGTGTCCAGGCAGTGACCAGCAGCTTCCCTCCTCCTCCACCTGTCTCTGAGTTGGGGACTTGCAAGTAATCCTATCCACAAAGTGGGAGGTGCAGGGTCACCTGATCCCCCTCTGAGTGGCAGCACTCACTTGCTCAGGTGTCTCTTTGTACCAAAGTGTAGCCACAGCAGGAGCCATTAAGACAGAGAGAGAGGGGGAAGAAAAAGGGGGAAAAGAGGAAGGAGACAAAAAGGGAGAGAGGAAAAGGGAGTTGGGGGCATATGGTATAAGACAAATTGCAGCTGAGTGTGGACAATGGCATGATGACGAAAAGCTTCGTAGAGATCAGTACGTTGGACATAACTTGGTCAAACCCAGGAATAGCACTCATCCAATTTTTTCTTTCTTTTTCCCTTTTTGTTATCATTTCTTCTTCCCTTTCTTCCATTTGATCTCTTTTCTCTATTGATGTCATCTTAACACTTAACACTTATTCCAGTGTTTACCATCTCTTTTTTGCAGGTCCTGCTGCCAGCACTGCTGCTCTCCCAACAGTAAGTGGACAAAAGGTAGTCAATGAAATTAGTGCTGAAACAAATACAGTAGTTGTAAACAGAACATCTGTCTTTAAATAGGTAGATGGATAAACCCTCCAGGAGGACCCTGTTTCCTTTCAGTTTCAACGCTTGTTTTGGATGTAGTTAAATTTGGTTATTTTCTCATTCGTGTCAGAGCCATTTTGGTCCAACTTTGTCCCCTGGGACCCAAAGTCCTCCAAACAGATATTAAAGACAAAATATGAAGACAAAATATTATTTTGTCTTTCTTTATCTGTACAAAATATGTCAAATAATTGATAAAGTCTTGATGTTTAACCTCTGGGAATGCCATGCATTCAGAAGCAAGCGTTTAGCATTGTATAAAGGAATTTTCATCTGGTTTTCCACCAAACTTCTGCATCATTGCATAGTGCACTGCAATGTGATAATTTAATTTGCACTATTGAAGCCTCCAGTAAGGACAAGAGCGAGGCAGTGATCATGCAGAACCCTTCAACCTCGTCCTTATCACTAGCTTAACCCATATACAGCAATTTATAAGATTTAGACATGTGAGATGAAAGTATGGCCTTACAGTCATACCTTAAGTTCTGCCCAAACATCTCTTTTGGCAGTATGTTTGGTCCCAAATACATCTCAGACTACATCTCTCTCTGCTATCACAGATTTGTCAGTTGGAGCTGCATGTTAAATAAATCACCAGCTGATTCATTGGTATCTCTCTATGTTGCCTACATACAGGAACTTAAGACAGAGACAACAGAGCAACCAGATCCCTCCAGGATAGAGGTTGTCTCTGTAACGGAAGAAGACCTCCCCAGTTTTGAGACCCCCAACACACTGAACTTCAGCCCCCTGGGCAGTTTTGTTGCTGAACCCCAATCAGAGAACGATTCTGCCAAACCTGAAGAGCCCCAACCTCTGGCTGCAACCAGTCCGACCATGCCAATCACCAAGGTGCAGCCATTTATCCACGGTGAGACCCTGTCATGTTCTTGGTATAATGGTACAGACTGAAACAATAGATAGTGAAATAGCTGCACAAAGGTAGGATCAGATCAGTAGGATCTGCTTGAAATGCGAGATGAAGAAGTTATTTAGCTCTTTGTTCATTGGTCTTCTTCACTTTCCCATGAGAAAGTTTCTTTCTTTACCATACCAAACAATTCTGTGGGATTTCTACTTAGCTTTCAGCTGCTTTTATTAAAGGTGAATAATCAATAATGAAGAGGTTCACAGTTAATTTAGTTTATGTATGGAAACAAAACTGAAAACAAGGACAGAACAAGAAACCCTGCAATCAATTCATTAGGTTTTAGAATCACTCCTGAAGGGAGCTAGGTGAAGTATGAATGGGGATATGATAACAGAGATGTTTTATGTTGCATTTACACTATACATATTTAGAGGGGTTTTTTCAACTCCAAAGTCATGTTGATAAGGTTAGAATGATACCAAATGTGTACATGAAAGCACCGGAATGGGGATTTTGTCCTCTTCTCAGCAGTGTGTTGTGGATATCAAAGGATAAGACTGTTGTTACTTTCTATTTTGCTTGTCAGAAATTTTGCTTTACCCAAACTAACAAAGAAAGTATCCAATATTATTGCTAGTGTTGTTAGTGTGTAATTGACCCTACGCTAAGCCACGCCCCGAATATGCAGCTGGCCAATCACAGCGCAGTATAGGACTCGCTCTTTTATGGCTGCTCTCCACTGACTCGTATGTAAAAGGAGACGTTTTATGGGGGTTTTTGCTGTATTTTTGTATTTCTGTAAGATATGGTCAAACGCTGCTCCTGGGGCACTTGTAATAATTAAAATCACTACTCAGGGAGGTTGAAACGAGAAGTATGATTTATTCCTTTTCCAAAATCTAAAACAAATCCAAAAAATGTAGGCTGTAGATTGTTTCTAATGTAATGTTAGTTAGTTAATGCTAGCTAACTTAACTTACTACTGACTGTAACGTTATATAACCTTACTGTTTTTACTCTTTAATGATTGTAATAGTGAATAGAGACTTATCCAGCTGTACAGGAACAGTGTTGACCCTTAATATCGTTGGCTTTTGTCTCAATTGTCAGGTGATGTGGTGGTTCACTTTCACTCTGTGATCAGTAGGCTTTAGCTTCTGTCTTTATTTTTTTAATGCAAACCTTTTTGTCTCCTTTCTAAGATCAGTGGCAGCACCGTGATAAGTCCAACAGGTCAGACAGTTTGTCGGACTTAGCAACAGTAACTAAGGGGTAGTGGCTTAGCAAAGGGTCAATTAAGTGTGAATCCAAAGTTTGATGTGTCTTCTTCCTCTGTGCCATAGTCCTATGCAAACTGAAAAACACATTAACAAGCCTCACTGTTACACTGGCTGAAATGCTCCTTCATCACCATGTGCACACACACTGTAGTTTATTTTGAATCAATCCTACATACGCTGTCCTGCAGCCAGAAATACTTACTAGACCACAAAATATGTATTAATCCGCCGCAGAAAATAGTCCCCAGCAAATGCATTATTTCCTACTGTAAAATTAGCTAAAGGCTACAGTGACCTGTTTGAGGAAATTTCTAAGCCTTTTAAAAAAATGAAACTATATATTTGTGACTTGTCTTTAAAGAAGTACGTCTTCAGTAGAAATGAATAGACTAGAGTAGAGACAAAGAGTAGAGACAAAATATACTCTTTCTCACTCTGGTTTTGACTAAGGAAAACACACTATCGGTGTAATTAACCTCATTGGTCCATGGCATAAATGCTCTTTCATTTAACTTTACAATGCTGTGAGAAAGAGATCACCAAATCTTGCAGCTCATATCGTATACTATTCAAACATAGTAGATGTTCATGAACTACTTTGCCTTGACAGAGGATGAGTGGGAGAAAAGCTGGAAGAATCGACTGCTGGCCCACCGCTTCGAGCTGCTAATCGCTTCATGTCTCATCACGGTGTTCACTCTCGCTCTCGGGATTGGCCTCGGAGGTAAGGAGCTCAGCGCTGTGTGAACTTTGTCCACTTGGCAATAATGGAGCAACTGTAGCATGGACTGCCTTTCCTCTATCAATATTTGATGCTGTCCTCACCTGTTATACAATTGAGGCCCCACTCACACAGTGCATGAGGTCACAGACACTTCCAGCTTTAATTTGATTGTCACTAATGCCCAGTGAACAGTATAAACAGCCCTATTTACACAGTTGGGCTATTTTTATTTTATTGGGCAGGGGAAATGTTTTGGGCAGGTTGTGATCATTTGGGCTACTTTTTGCACTGTTTGGATGGTTTCAGGCTTTATTCCAATAAATCGGCCCCTCATCTCAACAGAGTATGATTGAGATAGACAGGACACTGACTACACTATGCTCAGCTCAATACACATTTACTGATAACTGATTATACTTATATCTATTTATTATATAACTTAGTTGAAATTTTTATTCAATAATATAATTCTAAAAAACAACCATCCAGACATGAAGCAAGCCACACGACATACTGCTGAGAAATTTTATTTTTTAGCATTGTTACAAATGTCAGTGGGATTTCCTTACATCTGAAATTATTTAGAGTTAAACAAGATATCTAAGGCAGACAAACAGTAACGTCAACTTAACTACAGTAAACAGATGGCTAAGGCTATGTACTCTTATCACTGGATAGCACCAAATGTAGGGAATTTCAAAATATATACAAATACCAATAATTTTTCATTTAGTCTGGGTTTGATCTGCCTCTGTTTGTCTGTGTGTCTACAGTGGGTCTGAGCTGTGTGGGGAAGTTTCATTGTGGTTCATCGTCTCAATGCATCAGCACCTCAGCTCAGTGTGACGGAGAGGTGCACTGTGATAATGGAGAGGACGAGCTTGGCTGTGGTGAGACATACACAAACACGTGTACATAGGAGTAGATCTGGTGTTATGAGCAAAGAGCAGTCATTTAGTTAAATGGCCAAGATACAGTATATAAGAATACAAATATAGAACAATTAACAAAGTCAGGCAGTACCTCAGTCCGTAAGGACTTGGCTTGGAAACTGGATTGTTGCTGGTTTGAGTCCATCTCAGACCGGAGATTTGAGTGTGGACTGGTAGCTGGGTACTGCTGAAAGACGCCTTGAGCAAGCCCCTGAACCCACAACCGCTCGGGGGATCGCACTAAGCAGCCCCCTTGCTCTGACATCTCTCCATGTGTTGTTGCATTTGATTAGGTTTGTGTATTTAATTTCGCCTTGCAGAATTAATAATGTATGTGTTCTTCTTCTTAAACTTGCATCTTTAAGTGGTGACATAATACAAGCCTGTGCTAGCAGCACACGTTGCATTAAGTGCAAATGAAAACTATATTTAAAAAAATGTGTTCCACCTCATCCTGCTGTCAGTGCAACACCACTAAAGTAGCAGTTTATTTATTTCAGGACACAAAAAATGTCCAGGATTCAATGATATTCCATTAGCCCCTACTGATACTCTTGGTGATTGGTCTGGCATTAAAAATCTGCATTGTACATCTGATAAGATAATTGGGATTGTATTGTTACCCCCCCCCAAATTAAACTAAAATCCGTTTATTTGTTTTGGACATGTATTCAAACAGGACCTGGAATGCAGACTTCAGTGATTTATTGATGAAATTAGCTTGCAGGCAGGCAGGTAGGTAGACAGGTAACAGACAGGTTCAGGTTAAGTGACAGAAGTTCAAAAACACAAGTGGACTAGAGTGGACTAGTGGACACAGTAATTAGAATGATGTGACATAGACAAAGTTCGGTTTGGCAGCCAGTCCACATTAGTGCTTAACAATAGAGCCCCCCAGCACTGAACCCTCCTGTTCACGCTTTACACACATGACTGCAACCCCCAACATTAAGAGAACACTGTTGAGAAGTTTGCGGACGACACCACCATCATCAGATGGATTTTTTTTTAAAAAACCTGTTCCACCCAGCAGCCTGCTATAAAGTATGATGAGCTGGATACCATGTTGTGCCAGACAGATTTTGCTTTAACAAGAGATGTTTAATATACTTTATTATTTATGTATTTATGTATTAATTTCTCACCGGGCCCGACAGGGGGGCACAAACATCACACAAACAGACCCTAACCCCAGCCCAGAGAAAGGACAGCACTTGGAAGAGAAACGACAAGAAACAACATAGCAAAACACCAACTGCAGAAAGGTCACCTGCAAGAGAACTGGGGGGGGGAGGCGGGGGGGTTGGACCACAGGAGACAACCAGCTGAGCAACAGCAATAAACAGCAGACATAAGAAAAGAACTGACAAAGAATGAGAAGCAGAAACAGTCCAGCAAAATAAATAAACAACACAGCACAGCCATAAGAGGGAAATAATAACAATTAATTTAGCTCCCCAGCCTAACCAGAGCCCTCCTGATTAGCAGGGAAGAGAAATAAAGGATGTTAATCAGTGTGATGTAGTTTACCTGTAGCTTGGTGTGGTAACTGCCCGTTATTCATCTCCAAGGAACTTCTTCCTTATTGGGAACAGCCCTCGGTGTCAGTCCAGGATCTCCCGTGGAAAGTGTTTTTTTACGCTGAAGATCGATCCTCTAAGTTCTCTGCAGCGGCTTTTAAACAGTTCCTTCTGCTTGAAGTGTTCAAACTTCACAATGAGGGGCCTGGGCCTCCTCTTGGACTTCATCCGCCTGCTCTGGGATGCCTGAAATTACCAGGTTCTCCCCTCATGTTGCGATCAAGGATCGTTTCTCTAATGTTTATATTTTCTGCTGAGAACCGTGTCATTCCCTCCGTGAGGGATTTAACTGAACCTCTGAGGACCTCGTTTTTTTTGCGCCGAGTTCAGCCACCTGTTTGATGCCAGAAATAATCGGCCATCAGAGCTGGACAATTTCTTGTCTATTGAGTCCAGGATGTCAGCAAAGTCACCGCCTTGTGAGGAGACTGCTCCAGGTGAGTCTTCAGTTCGGTTTCATTTGGGCTTCCCCATGACCACTCTGTGAAAACACTGGTCAATGGAGACTTCAAGGTCCTCCAAACACTCGTCTTCGGGGTCCTCCAGAGTGATGGAATTGTTGCGATTTATTTATTAAATTGACGGATTGTCTGAGGAATAAAATGTTTGTTTGGCTGCTTTTAAGCCAATAAATTCATAAAATGATTCAGCATTGCCCTACCAGAATTAAAGTCTTAGCATTTATGAGAACACTTTTAACCAGGATTTGGACCTGGTGGGAAATATGATTATAAAAGACTGGATGATTAAAACATGACAAATCCAAATGATGATAAACATTAAGAGACATTTGGAGATTTTTGGTTTCTTGACTCAGGGACTCAGGATCCACTTGCTAGTAGATTTCCATTTGCTCTGTTGATGAGAGTTTCTTAATCTCCACAACAAGTGAAAAAACTCCATCTGTTGAAGAAGGTGTGAGATGCAGTTAAAAGCTCAAGGAAACCCTAAATGGACCCTGGGTAAAAAAATTTCTGAAATCTGTTTGATGTTACCTTTCTGTCCACCGCTATATAAACCTGTTGTCTGTGTGTTTCTCTGTCTCTTGCTCTCTGTCTGTCAGTGCGACTGAGTGGGAGCAGCTCGGTCCTCCAGGTCCAGAGAGGTGGAGTGTGGAGGACAGTTTGCTCAGAGGGCTGGAACAACTGGCTGGGGGCCTCCGCCTGCAAACAGCTAGGATACTCCAGGTTTTCACTGTGGCACAAATCTCTTATTTTCTTAGCTCTGTCTGCATGGTGCATGGTTATGGTGTGACACTGTGGGAGATTTGTGTCCACGTCCACCTTTTATTTCATATTTTTGTCTTGATCTGTTTTTTTTCCTGCACCGTTCAGACGTTTATGACAGCTTTGAAACAGTGGTTATGTTCCAATGTAATTTACCAACAATGTGTGCTTGCACATATTTGATTGACCATTGCAGAACCCTGCCAGATGTTACGTTCAGTTGAGCCTGGTTCAGCTTTTCATTCTGCATTCAGTGCATTCCCACTGAGCTGATAAAGTTTTCCCATTTATATACATGAAATTTGAAATGGACTGAGCTTTTAAGTTGTTTGTTTCATCAGATGACCATAATAAGAAGCTAAGTGGACAATTATTGATCGCATTGTTTTACAGTGTTCACTTCAGTATCATTGGTATCACTTTAATGGAAGTGTAGCATGTGCACATTGTAGTCTGATTTTGAGTTCATGTCCAAGCATATCAAACAGTGTACAGTGTTAACACAGTGTACAAAACTTTTAAGAGGTTCAGTGTTTAACATGGAGACTAGTTGCTGGTTTTATTTTTATATATTACCATGTATCAACGTGATCAGCCTCATCCCATTATTTATTAGGTTCAAACTGTCTCATCATTAGCTGTAAATTCTTTCTGTGTTGCTGTGTCTGTCAGGTATGTGGAGTCCTTCTTCATCTCTGTGACCTCCATTGAGCAGGAGCTTCAGTACAACATGGTGTCCATCAACCTGAGCCAGTCACAGATCATTAAGCTCCAGAACATCACAACCCTCAGGTTAAAAGCACATTTTTAGTATTTGAATGAAAATATGCAAACTAACAGTATTAATAATCTGAGTTGCTTTGGATGATTTAAATAATCTATTACACTGGACTTGTGTGTTGCTTCTTTTCATTTACTTTGAGCTCAAAAAGTAGAATGCCTAATCCAACTCCACCTGCAAATAACAGCATTTGTTTTTTGACTTTGTTCAAAAGGTGTACGTGTTTTTAAGAGAATAAGGGGAACCTATATGTATAATATGTAGCTGGTACATATTAATTAAACGATTATCAAAAGCTCAAAAGTGAAATAACAAAGACATTAAAATGACCACAACTGAAAATAAGAAATAAATGACATTATGTGGCATGAAAAACCTTGTACCTCTGTTCATCAGTTTTATAAAAAAAAAATCTAAATGCTCCTCAACAGGGTGGGTCAAGTCTCTACAACTCTGTAGATAATGTCTATAGTATATTGTAGAAGCTGACATGTTGGATATACAGGATTATAATGATCTTTTATGATTTTATGTTATGTTGACTCTAAAAGCTTTGATCACATTAGAGCAGGAAATAAGGCTCTGCATTTCACTTTTCCCAGCTTTTTGTGTCAATCCTTTGTGTTAGTTGGGGAGTGAGTGCAGCTACTTTTTTGGCAAATAGCAATTTGTAGTTATTCAACATTAGTGTTGTTGAAGTGCAACGACTTCCCCGAATTCATTGATGAGAAGGATCAGATGAGACAAGGTATTAAGTTCACACAATGTTGATTTATTCAACCCAATACAGATATATATATCCGGAGACTCTGCTGTCAGGCTGTCTAACACAAAGTCTGACTACTTCCGGCTAAGCAATGATCATATGCTGGAAACTGCACCCCTGTGTGTCTCTCGTGTTTGCCATATATGGTAATTGACAGTTGGTATAGAATGTTCTAGTGTGCCTTAAGGGCTGTCATGTGAGTGTGTGTGTGTGACTGTATTAATATAAGTGTGAAGTGAGTCAGAGTGTATTGTTGTCCGGGCCCGGTTTCCTGTCATTCAGTACAAGCTTCTAACTGTCTTAACTGTTGAATTACCTAAGATAAGCATGTCACACATATTGAGTATCATCTGAACAATCATAAGTAATAAGTAAGCATATAAGAGAATCATATCCTGCAATATCACTGTAGGGTTGTGTTGTATATCCACAGTGTCTACCTATTTGCAAGTTTTAGAAGTGATCATTCTGATTACTGAGAGGACTATTCCTATGGTGAACATTGTTAAACTTTCCAGATTCAAATGGGACCAATCCAAATTTTCTCATAGAGCTGACTGGTTCGTGACAGATACATCACTGAAAGGCTGGAGCTGGCTGGTTAGCATGCTAACCTCAGTGGAACACTATCTGTCCATCAAGAAAGTCCATAAATCACTGAAGGTTGGGTGACATCAAAGAAGAAACTTCATTGACATTGAATATTCTCATTCTACATTTAAACTTTCTGCGCTCTGTTTCCTGATCTGTAAATTCACTGGACACTTATTATGACCTGTAGTCCATGTTTGCTGAGTTTCTGTGATTTGACCTCCACCTCCTGTGTTGCCACAGTAAGACTCATTGCAGCTCAGGGAAGGTGACCACGCTGAAATGTCTGGGTGAGAAAACATACTGCAAACTGAGTGATTTTGTTTAAATCATGATGGAGTCGAGAAGAGCGCATGTGCTCTTACATGTGTGGGGGTCTTGCATGGCGTGCAAATGTGTTCTTTTCTGTGTGTGTCTTTGTTGGAGTGTATGTAGGTATGTGCTGTTACTTTTACCTGCTAAGACAAGTAGTCTGTATTTATAAATCACCCCAGTAACTTACATCTGTTTTATGCATTCAACAGCAAGGGTTAGATGTAATTACATGACATGGAACCAGGTTGTGTGCATGACAGTGTTTATGTGGCTTGTATGTATTTGTGCATGTATGTCTTCATGTACTAGGGTTAAACTAGTATGGATTTGTGAAGGTTGATAATGATAGCGATGTGCGATACCACTTAATTCCTTTACTATCCAATACCAAGTAATACCCAGGCTGGTATTGCTGATACCAATACAATACTTTTTACATATTTTATTTCTAGTTTAATGTCATATTATTTTGACTTAATTTCAGATGTTTAGCAAAGTTTGCGGCGTTGTGAGAGTATTTCACTGTCTTTGCACACTCATCACACACAGCGTCATTCTTACCTTCACAGCTAAAATACAGCCAGACGTAACAGTCAGCCACAGTCAGTATTCAATAGCAGGAAATTTTAAGGGTACTTAAGATACTTATGATAAAACACACTCACTCCAAATTACTGAGTTTAGATATCAATCCCTTTATATGAGTATCAATCCTAGGTTTCAGAAATATCAATACTTTAGTATCAATCCGCACATCACTAGATACTGATACCTTTGGTCAAAACTTCTCATAGCCGATCCTTTTGATCTGTATTTTACAGTGATCTTTATGTGGCACCAATAACACATAAAGATCACATGACTTATCATGGGGAACATTATGCCTTTGGAAACAGCTGTATCATTTCTTCTGTGATTCTGAAAAAGCTTTGTCAAGTCTGACAAAAAAACAGCCCCAATTTTGATCACACTTTTTTCTATGTCTCTTGAGTCCCCCAACATAGAAGAGCAATACTAAATCAGTGCAGTACTACATTAACTCTTTTCATGGAAATAAACTTATTTTCCTTGGGACACTTCCTACGGTCAGGCTGGTAAAATCGTCAGCACATATCATGTGACAGTGAACAGGACATGAGAATTGATTTTATTGATAGCAGCTCTCCAAGGCAAAGTGACTCACAACAGCTACTCAGTGGTAGGAGAAACTCAGAAACACACGGCTGTTACTGACAGATTTTTAGTTAAGGCCAGTATCAGCCTACCAGGACATGGTGTCAGTCCAGTGCATGTGAATTAGCATTGTGTTTGTATCCAAGCCTGAGAATTGCACGAGCTGACCTATGACCCTCCACGCATCTGTCCTCAGAGTGCGGCGCCAGGCCTCGGTACAGCACTCGTATCGTCGGAGGTAACATCTCCAAGTCGGGTCAGTTCCCCTGGCAGGTCAGTCTTCACTTCAATAATGAACACCTGTGCGGCGGCTCCATCATAACGTCACGCTGGATCGTTACTGCAGCACACTGTGTGTATGGGTGAGTCACACATGCAAACTCAAATCATCTACACATTTTGTATAGTTGCTTATTTAAGCTCCACATGGTTATATTGTAAAGGGGAAAACATGCGTTAAAATCACATTTGACAAGGGACATATGATTGGGCACAGGGAAAGGACATGTACCCCTCAGTTTTCAAATTCTGTTTTCTTCCTAAACAATGTCGTCTGACTGTCCTGCTGTCAGATTTGAGATGAGAGAAGAGAGGAACTGATAAAAATGTTCTTATGCTTATCTGAGTAACCTTCTGTTATTAATGAGCACTCTCAGCAATTATGCTTTATTATGAGCCTTGGTGGGGTTGTATTCAGTCAGAGAAGAAGACTGCAGACACTACTCAGAGCTGAAAAGCACACTTATTTACAGTTAATCTTCTCATTAAAAAGAGCACCTAACTAGCCAAGTTAGTGCTAGTCCTAAATTTGGGACCAGAAAACTTAAGACACTAAAGACACAAAGCATTTTAGAGCTAAAAGGTAGCTCCTCGGCCTGAGGAAAGTAAGGTAGCCCACATTGTCACAGTTTGACTCTTTTTTTTATATCTAGGTTGCCAGTCATGTCTCTTTCCTGATATTTAAGATATTAAGTTTTTTCTTTATTCAGTGTGCTTTGTCTTAATCAAAATGTCACAAAGAACACATCAAAATATGGACCCTCACCTTGAATGGAAATATAATGAAAGCCAAAATCTGAAACATTGTCGCATAATACAAAATAGTTTGTATTTCAAAAATGCACACACTAAAAACAAACCACAAAAGAACACCATGCAAATAACTAAAATCACCCTCGCTGGGTTAGGCTCCTTTCAGTTCATTCACAAAAACAAAAAATAGGCTTATAATTGGTACAAAAGTAAAGGTAGATTCATTTCAATCATTCCAGCGAAATTAAGCGTATGGAGGACAACAATTTGTAAGGGATTATACTACTTTACACATATATTTCATGCTTCATTCACCTCTCACTTCACTGTCCTCTCCACAACCACGCTTTTCCCTATCTGCTCTTTTATTTACTAGAGAGGATACCAGTAGCATAAATCAGTAAGCAGGTGCGGGCGGTGAAATCTGGGTGTTGTCACTAAGCACTACTCACAATCAGTCATCTGCTACATGTAAAGAGCTTGCTTACAACAGTGTTTAGGGGAAAAAAATGGATTTTTAAAAAGCATATGTCAATGTGGGAAATTTAATATGTCTCCAATCCAAAAGCTCCATAGCAACAGAAAAGTTGTACTCAGCAGCTGTCTAAAGAGGAAACTCTTGGCTAGGCTACCTTTAGCACCATTTAAGAGGGCTCTATCAAGTATATATATAAAATTCATTAACCCCGATTGTGAAACTCAATCGACCTCCTCGAAGGAAGAAAAAAGAATAGCATTCCATCTGCTTTAATGAGACTACAGAGTCATAGAATCAGGGGAATGACAGTGGTGACTGCCCTGCCAGATATAGCTGCTCTGTGGACCAGGGCCGTGCAGAGACCTTTGGAAGGGCAGGTGCTCAAGGTATAAAAGGGGCACATGGAACAAGGATTTAATAGGGCTGTTCTCAAAATATCGATACAGAAATATATTGTTATGTATTCCTTGCTGATATGCGTATACAGATGCTTCTGTATCGATACAACAAATTCTGTGACACAGAAAAGAAACACATGGAATACCCAGATCTAGATTTAAAACACAGTGAGCTGACATAACTTAAAGGGAACAGTTGCTGCTGAGGGGTTGCTGCTGCTGCTTTTGTTGCTGCTGATACTTCTGGTGGTGATCTGTGACTACAGATATAACAAACATAGGAGATATATATTAGCTGATGAAACAAATGTGACCATGACAAGATGTAAAGATTGCTGACAGTATTTGGGACTGGCTCACTGTGACTGACCTGCTGTAGTGCTGCAGCCGATGCCAAGGCTGACTGCTACCAGAAAGTTGTGATTCCATACGTGTCTGGAGTATCAGAGAAACTCAGGAGGATTTTCAACAAACACAACATCCCTGTGTTTTTTAAACCCAAGAACACACTAAGACAGATCCTGGTCCATCCCAAAGACCGCACACCCAAACACAAGAAAAGCAATCTAGTGTATGCGGTCCAATGCAGTGAGGAATGCACAGACCTGTATATTGGGGAGACTAAACAACCACTACACAAACGCATGGCTCAACACAGAAGGGCCAACTCCTCAGGTCAAGACTCTGCAGTCTACTTCCATCTGAAGGACAGAGGACACTCGTTTGAGGACCACCAGGTGCACATTTTAGACAGAGAAGATGGATGGTTTGAAAGAGGTGTCAAGGAAGCCATCTACCCCCGGGTCGAGAAGCCGTCATTGAACAGACAATGCGGTCCTTTCATCACTTCCCAGGAAACTCAACAAATGTAACCTATTGGCCTCAGGTGAAGATACCAACGATGGTCGTTCAGTCTTGGCCACAGGTAGTCCTAACGACTGTCGTCACAGCAACCAGAAACACTAACGAACCAGCAGTATCGACAATCCTGGCAAACGACCCCACTGAGGTTAAATAACTGAGTTTCCCTGCCAGTCAGTCAGAACTGAAGAAGTCTCTTGGATGAGGCACAAAACGTTTTATAGCAACTTCAACCAAGTCCAGTTTCCCTTGACTTTTACCGTCATTGGATAGCAAGAACGAAGTGAACAGAGCACCTTTGTTTATCTGTGTGCAGAAGTAACGTTAGCTGTTAGCACAGTTTTAGTGTTAGACGGCAGCTAACATTACTTCTACAGGCGACACAGCAATATACAACTACTGTGCTGCTCTTTGCGTCTCTCGTAAAATACATCCAACAACCCACAACAAGCACATTGCCGCAAACCCCATACCGGTGGAATTGCAGGTGTCCTCTAGTCAGTGCTGCTGAATCACTAACGGTGTGTGAATGAGTGGGCTCGTCACGGATGAGGTCATCAGGTGAAAGGTCATAATGTGGGTCATTTTATTTACTGCGAAATTATTAATTCATTTTACTAATAGTTTGATTCGGCAGGCCTTCACAAAAGGACCTTTAATTAATTAATTTTTAAATCTGTAAATGTGTCATTGTCAAAGCACTTTGGGCATCAAAGGGCAAAAGGCCAGGTGCTCAGTCCCCCATTGCACCCCCTTCTGCACGTGCAGACTGAACACAGCAGAAAGGCCAAGCCCACATGCGTAGTTAAAGTTGTAAGAGCTGGAATCAGATTTCTTCCCATACTCTTTTGTGCATGTAACAGGTTTGTAAAGTGAAGAAGCCCAAAGTACAGCCCAAAGGGAGGTCCCATCTCCCAAAGAAAATTCTGCTTTTAACTGCCTGAAAACAGCTTGTTTGTAGTCCAGCCGCAGAGACAGGGATGAAAGCTAAATGCACCTCATAATACGCTCGCCAAGCGGCTAGTCTGACACGCCCTTAAAAACACAGGTGGAAAAACAGTGAGCTGCAGCACACACCTCTCTCTTCCAAACACTAGCTACCCTCCAGACAGTCAGTGGACAGAAGGTTGTTCCTGTGATGTAGAAAGAGAGCTCAGTTAAAACTTTATGGATGAAAGATTCTGTTACAGATTAATAACTCACCACTCTGAAACTCTTGCTCCAGCCAAGCTGGTCGGCAACATGTACACAAGGGGGTAAGCCAGAGATCGGACAGTGAAGCCGACCAAAGCCTGCATGGAGGGTTCCATGTAAGCCCAAAAATGACATCAAAACCTTGAGACACCCTGTCGCACATTCAATTAAATTTTATTTATATAGTGCCAAATCACAACAACAGTTATCTCACAGCGCTTTTCATAAAAGAGCAGGTCTAGACCGTACTCTGTGATGATATTTACAGAAGCCCAACAGTTCCTACCAAGAGCAGCACTAGGCAACAGAGGCAAGGAAAAACTTCCTTTTAAGAGGCAGAAACTTCGAGCAGAACCATGGCTCAGGGTGGGCGGCCATCTGCCTCAACCGGTTGGGGGTGAAGGGGAGAGAGAGAGAGACACACACACACACACACACAGAGGTACAGACAGTAAAGGTGATGTTGCTATAGACTAATTGAAAAATGGTATAGATATTTATAGTAGTGTTAATGATAATAATAATAATAATAATAATAAGAGGACTAGTAACAATAGTTGTTGTAGAGGGTGTCGAGCAGGAACACGGGGGCAGCAGGTGACCCGCAGCCACAGATCCAGAAACACCTGCAGGAAGTGATAGGAGAGAGGAGAGGGACGAGAAAGCACAAGACTACCAGAAAGAGGAGAAGTTGTGTTAGTAACATGCAATAATGGGATGAGGTGGCATACAGAGGGAGAGAAAGAAGAGGAGAGAGGAGCTCAGTGCATCATGGGAAATCCCCCGGCAGTCTAGGCCTATAGCAGCATAACTAAGGGATGGTTCAGGACTCACCTGAGCCAGCCCAACTATAAGCTTTATCAAAGAGGAAAGTCTTAAGCCTACTCTTAAATGTGGAGATGGTGTCTGCCTCCTGAACCCAAACTGGAACCTGGTTCCACAGGAGAGGAGCTTGATAGCTGAATGCTCTGCCTCCTAGTCTACTTTTGGAGACTCTAGGAACCACAAGTAACTGGGAGCGCAGTGCTCTGGTGGGGTAGTAAGGTACTATGAGCTCTTTAAGATAAGATGGTGCCTGACCATTAAGAGCTTTGTAGGTAAGAAGAATTATTTTAAGTTCTATTCTGGATTTTACTGGAAGCCAATGCAAAGAAGCTAAAACAGGAGAAATGTGATCTCTTTTCCTGGTTCCTGTCAGAACACGTGCTGCAGCATTCTGGATCAGCTGAAGAGTCTTAATGGACTTTTTCGAGCAGCCTGATAAGGAATTGCAGTAATCCAGCCTAGAAGTAACAAATGCATGGACTAGTTTTTCTGCATCATTTTTAGACAGGATGTTCCTGATTTTCGCAATATTACGTAGGTGAAAAAAGGCGGTCCTTGAAATTTGCTTAATGTGAGACTTAAACGACATGTCCTGATCAAAGATAACTCCAAGATTCCTCACAGTGGTGCTGGAGGCCAGGGCGATGCCATCCAGGGAAACTATATCTTTAGATAATGCGTCACGGAGGTGCTTAGGCCCCAGAACAATAACTTCAGTTTTATCTGAGTTTAACATGAGAAAATTATAGGTCATCCAGGTTTTAACATCCTGAAGGCACATTTGAAGTTTAGCTAACTGATGAGTTTCATCTGGCTTGATCGATAGATATAACTGAGTATCATCTGCATAACAATGAAAGCTTATGGAATGTTTCCTGATAATATTGCCTAAAGGAAGCATATATAAGTCAGACAAACACACTGAGCCATGAAACTTTTTGTTGGCGCATTTATACAGCTACCACAATTACGGTGTTTCTGCAGTTGTTCTAAGTCTTTAAACCATGGTTATGCCGCGCGATCATGCACAGTAGACGCTGGTGCCAACAGTGGCCCTGTAGTAGTATTTTATTGGTCCAAAACTGGCTTCACTGCTCTCCATTCAAATAAGTGGGGTAGCTTCATCCCGTAATATACTGTCTATGCATGTGTGGCAGAAACGAGCGGCCTATGACACTCGAGAAGCTGAAAATGTCCGACAACGCCACTTGGGATAGGCCCAAGACCTTTAAAGCACACAGATCGTCTTATCAAAATTAGGGGGCAGATACAATCAAGTAATTATAAAAAAAAATATATACAATTTTATTTTCTTTTATCATCTCTTAAAATAGCAACACCTGCTCTATTAAAAAAAGATATGTAATGCGTATTAGAGAAAAAAACAAAAAAAACACAAACACCATTCAAATCAACAAACCTGCATGCATAATTAAAGGATAAAAATCAAACAAAGAAAAAAAAAAAAACCCCACATGCAATATACATCCAGTTAATACCAATATTTACAGAGCCAATGTCTGGATATTCAAACACTTAAAACGTATCGCTCCAAACCAGTAGTGTGCATCCAGGACAGTCATATATCCAGACACTGTATCAATATACAGCAAAGTTTTATACCGATATCCAGAACAGCAAGAGTGGGAGGAGAAACGCGCCGGGGAGTGTTAACCTCTTAGATAACTGTGGCACCCAGCAGCCTCGACAGCAGCATGCACACGGCTGTAGCTTGGTCCCGCACTTTACGGGACACGCCACCCTCAGACCCCAGCAGGGGGGCAAGCAATCCGCGCAACCACACAGCACCCAACGAGGCACCCAACGCCAGCAGCCCAGGTATTCATCTATCCACACGGGGAATATCCACGGCCGAAACAAAGGCAGCTCACTCCGCAGTAAACTAACAACCTCTGGCAACGGCAACAAACGTGCAGCACGCCAGCCCAGACACGTCTCCACACCCAACAGGAGAAGACCGAAACCCAAACAAGTCTACCACACAGGCTTAAAAAGGTAGCTCCCCAACTCTCCCAATCAAAGGGGATGAGCCCCAGGTGTGCTGGTGCGTGCACAGGTAAGAGGGAGGGAAAGAAAACCTCATCCTGCCACACGTGTACAGCTGAAACAAAGCCGTGTTTGCTTCTCACTGACCTGCCCTACTCTGCTTCTGATTGGCTAGTAGTCCTTAACTAGAAACTGTGCATGTGCAACTCCCAACAAAGATCACTTAGAGACAAGATGTATCACTCCATAGCTAAAAGCCTTCAACATAGGGTGAAAAGAGGAGCTGCAGCAGTGTGAAGAATGACAAAAATATGGTGTTTTTTAAATTAAACCATGTAAACCTGTTCTGGTACAACCTCTAAATAAGATTTTGAATCTGAAAAGGAGCATAATACCACCTCTTTAAATGTTGTGAGTTGCTTCTGTTTAGGAGTAAAGTGCCAAGGACGAAACTGTACTGTAGGTTGTAGGAAATTATTTCAGTGTCCACATGACATAAATATCCTGTTTTGCTGTATTTTCTTCTCCGCTGTCTGTCATCAGGTTTGCAGACCACTCCATGTGGGCGGTCCATGTGGGGCTGATAGAGCAGCCAGTCCAGAGGGCTCACTCTTTGGCTGTGGAGCAGATCATATACCATGCTCGCTACAGGCCCAAAGGACTGGACTACGACATTGCACTGATGAAACTGGCCAAGTCACTTGTTTTCAATGGTAGTGGTGTCCTTTTTCAAGACCTTGCTGAGTACTACCTTTCTTTTTCAACCTGTTCTGTGTTCATACATTCTGTTCAGCTGTCCAGACCTCTTCTATTGCATCTCAGCAGTTTCAGTTTCTATTGCATTAAACTGACCAAAAGGTCAACATTAGTGCCCAGACTGGCAGAAACTAAGGTGCCCTTTAGCAAGACACATAACCTCACACTGTTCCCCTGAAGCTGCTCAAGCTAACAGATGTTAATGTTGCGTTAAATAAAACTCAAGGGGCCGTGTTGGTGGGATGTGTTGCTTCATGTACCAGTGAGAAGATCAAAAACAACCCAGGAAGTTCAGTTGGAGTAATAGATCCATCAATTTGAAGAATTCTAAGACATTATAAGACACATAACATTTTCTGTATTACACTCAACATGACACAAGTCTGAAGTGAATGCCATCAGATTATTGTAAAACACGCAGGGAGAGATGCATTTCTTGCTGTTGCTTCAAAGGTCACTGTGATGAAATGATTAGGACCGGTTGTGGCTCAGGAGGTAGATTAGGTTGTCCACTAATCACTCCTCTTGTCCACATGTTGAAGTGTCCTTGGGCACTTCCTCCTGATATGGTGATGGTCAGGCCAGTACCTTGCAGGGTAGCTTGCTGCCATCAGTGTATGTGTGTAAAAATTAAAAGCGATCCATGATTTTACCATTATCTTTATCATCATCTCATAATATAAGCCTTTATTGATCCAAAAGGGAAGATTCAGGTGTTGCAGCTGCACAAGGACAGAAATAAGTACAATTAAAGCTGCAAGCAGTGTTGGTTGGGGTGTGGCGCGGCCGGAGGTCGGGAGAAGTGCCCTGAATTGTTGCACGTTTTGGACCGGATAAAGGTTTTAAATGTCACTTCCTGTGTCCCCTGGGTGGTGCTAGACAAGACCCTCTAATTATATGTTGTGCAGCAGTAGGTGAAGTGTGGACTGCGCTGTGAAAATGAAATATAAATCAAAGGATTTTTGTCAGAAACGGCTTACTTCCTGTTAACAGTGGGTGGCGCTATGACGATGAGTGAATATTTTCATGTTCAAGACGGTACTGTTATCAACAATGTAAAGTTTGGTACAGATCTGAGCATGTACACTGAAGTTATAATAACTTCCTGTTTTATGGCAAACCATTGATCTATTATGCCACGCCACGGACATGCCCATCAACGAAACTTTAAGTCGATCCAATTAATTCCCTAGGAAGAATTCGTTAAAGTACGGACCTTGTAAAAGGCCATAAATGGGCTGAAATTACACATTAAAATTAAAATGGCTGACATCCTGTCTGATTTCAGGTATGACTCCAAGAGGCTTTTTTGTGCGTCTTGGGATGATACATGTACCACGTTTCGTGCATGTTGGTGATTCAGTGCGCAGGGGCTGCATCTTTGAAGGGACACTTCCTGATTCCAGCAGGTGGCGCTATGAGGATGAGTGACTTTTGACCTGTAGATGTGTTCAGTGCATGACCCTTATCAAATGTGTTAAATCTGGTAGAGATATGAGCATGTACAATGAAGTTACAAGAACATGGCAAAGCATCGAACTTTGACGCCACACCAAGGACACGCCGTTATCCAATGTCTTAAGGCTCTTCTGAGACTGTTTTGAAGCAGGTGAGGCAAATATGTTGGGAGTGGTACATAACAGCATGAAACTTGACACTGCATGTTGCCAGCAGGTGGATCTATGAGTGTTTGTTGGCATATGGATGTGTTCAGGGCAGGACTCTCATCCTACATGTACAGTTTGGTGCAGATGTGATGATGTACACTAAAATTTAAACTTCCTGTTTTATGGTCAATCATTGATTTTGGACACCATGTCACTGACGAAAACTCACAATAGCACAACTTTTCATCGTCAATGTCTTTAGAATCTGAAGTCGATCAGATGAATTCTGTAGGAGGAGTTTGTTAAAGTATGCACCCTGAAAAATGGTTTAAAAAAAAGGGTTAAAATCACACTTTCAATTCAAAATGGCCAAGTTTAGGATATGGGTTGTTGAGGCTTTTTTGTGTCTTGATATGATACATGTCCCCACAAAATTTTGTGCATGTAGGTGAACTTGGCGCAGGGGCTATGGAACCATTTTTTATTAGTTAGCACAAAAAGGAGAAATTAATAACAAGTAAATATCGTGGGGCAGGCTGCACACTCCACTGCTGAAACACTTCTGATATGCTTCCAGTGGACTTTGACACCGGGTTATGGACGCATCAAAACTGTGGCACAGCCGTAACGTGTGGATTCCTGGCGTAATCCTTACAGTTTTAATAGGTTTCTCGCATGTTCATGCTCGAGCCCTAATTAAATACAAAAGGTAGAAAAAATATACACGCCACGTGGACCTGCCTGACATCATCACCTTCAAGGCAACAATGCTATATTCCCCATGCACTTTTCCAGCAGACATACACACGAACTTAGCTGCAGTCTTTATTCACTGACAGACTTTAACATTTACTGCTCACCCTTTCCTCTGATCTGCTGTATTCACCTGCCGCTCGCTCTCTCTCACTCAGCTACACACTCACTACACTCACCAAAAGCAGCGATTCATCAGTGACTGTGAGTGGTGGTGATAACTCTGCAGGACTAGAGAACAAAAGAAACGCCACTGCCCCTTATTGGGAGTATTTTTTATATTTTTTATCAAGTCCTCCAGCAAGAATCTATGGAAGAAGGGCGCTTATTTCCTGTCTAATCATTACGTATTTAAACCCAGCAAGAGAAGTCATTTAATATCATTATATACCATATAGTTCAATTCAATTCAATTCACTTTTATTTATATAGCGCCAAATCACAACAACAGTTATCTCACAGCGCTTTTCATAAAAGAGCAGGTCTAGACCGTACTCTGTGATGCTATTTACAGAAGCCCAACAGTTCCCACCAAGAGCAAGCACTAGGAGACAGAGGCAAGGAAAAACTTCCTTTTAAGAGGCAGAAACCTCGAGCAGAACCATGGCTCAGGGTGGGCGGCCATCTGCCTCGACCGGTTGGGGTGAGAGAGAGAGAGAGAGAGGGCAAGAGAGGAACAGAGAGAAAGAGAGAGAGGGATGGAAGGAGAGAGAGGGGAGAGAGGCAGCCTACACAATATACACACAGAGGTACAGACAGTAAAGGTGATGTTGCTATAGACTAAATGAAAAATGGCACAGATATTTATAGTAGTGTTAATGATTATAATAACAATAATAACAATAGGACTAGTAACAATAGTCGTTGCAGCAGAGGGCGCCGAGCAGGAACACGGGGGCAGCAGGTGACCCGCAACCACAGAGCCAGACTCCACAGCTCCAGAGCCAGAAAACCTGCAGGAAGTGATAGGAGGAGAGAGGAGAGGGACGAGAAAGCACAAGACTACCAGAAAGGGGAGAAGTTGTGTTAGTAACATGCAATAATGGGATAAGGTTGCATACAGAGGGAGAGAAAGTAGAGGAGAGAGGAGCTCAGTGCATCATGGGAAATCCCCCGGCAGTCTAGGCCTATAGCAGCATAACTAAGGGATGGTTCAGGACTCACCTGAGCCAGCCCTAACTATAAGCTTTATCAAAGAGGAAAGTCTTAAGCCTACTCTTAAATGTGGAGATGGTGTCTGCCTCCTGAACCCAAACTGGAACCTGGTTCCACAGGAGAGGAGCTTGATAGCTGAACGCTCTGCCTCCTAGTCTACTTTTGGAGACTCTAGGAACCACAAGTAACCCTGCATTCTGGGAGCGCAGTGCTCTGGTGGGGTAGTAAGGTACTATGAGCTCTTTAAGATAAGATGGTGCCTGACCATTAAGAGCTTTGTAGGTAAGAAGAATGATTTTAAATTCTATTCTGGATTTTACTGGAAGCCAATGCAAAGAAGCTAAAACAGGAGAAATGTGATCTCTTTTCCTGGTTCCTGTCAGAACACGTGCTGCAGCATTCTGGATCAGCTGAAGAGTCTTAATGGACTTTTTCGAGCAGCCTGATAATAAGGAATTGCAGTAATCCAGCCTAGAAGTAACAAATGCATGGACTAGTTTTTCTGCATCATTTTTAGACAGGATGTTCCTGATTTTCGCAATATTACGTAGGTGAAAAAAGGCGGTCCTTGAAATTTGCTTAATGTGAGACTTAAACGACATGTCCTGATCAAAGATAACTCCAAGATTCCTCACAGTGGTGCTGGAGGCCAGGGTGATGCCATCAAGGGAAACTATATCTTTAGATAATGCGTCACGGAGGTGCTTAGGCCCCAGAACAATAACTTCTGTCTTATCTGAGTTTAACATGAGAAAATTACAGGTCATCCAGGTTTTAACATCCTGAAGGCACATTTGAAGTTTAGGTATAGGTTAGATATAGGTCTATAGTTGGCTAAAACATCCGGATCAAGTTTGGGCAGAAGAGGTTTAATTACAGCTACTTTAAAGTACTGTGGTACATAGCCTGTTGATAGAGATACAGTGGGTACGGAAAGTATTCAGACCCCTTTAAATTTTTCACTCTTTGTTTCACTGCAGCCATTTTCCAAAAATCAAAAAAGTTCATTTTATTTCTCAGTAATGTACACTCAGCACCCCATCTTGACAGAAAAAAACAGAAATGTAGAAATTTTTGCAAATTTATTAAAAAAGAAAAACTGAAATATCACATGGTCATAAGTATTCAGACCCTTTGCTCAGTATTTAGTAGAAGCACCCTTTTGATCTAATACAGCCATGAGTCGTTTTGGGAAAGATGCAACAAGTTTTTCACATCTGGATTTGGGTATCCTCTGCCATTCCTCCTTGCAGATCCTCTCCAGTTCTGTCAGGTTGGATGGTAAACGTTGGTGGACAGCCATTTTCAGGTCTCTCCAGAGATGCTCAATTGGGTTTAAGTCAGGGCTCTGGCTGGGCCATTCAAGAACAGCCACGGAGTTGTTGTGAAGCCACTCCTTCGTTATTTTAGCGGTGTGCTTAGGGTCATTGTCTTGTTGGAAG